TGTTTTTAATGCCGATATCATCGGGAGCGTGAAAGAGAAATTTTTCTACTTTTGGATTTATTCATAGCAAAATCTGAAATTGATTATATAATGATCATATTAAAAAGTTGGTTTATATTTATGGAAATCTCTGGATGTATGATGAGTTCAAAAAAATAAAGTTATGTAATAAAGGCAAGAAATTCGTAAAGAATAAAAAGGATAATAATGAAGGAGGTAATGAAAAAGGCAATGATAATGACGATGATTTATTGAATTTTGATGATAGTATTTTCAGATTTGAATCAAATATAATAAATTTGTTGTAACAATATCAATATATAGCTATTTGTAATAATAAGTTTCTATTTAATAAGTATTGCAATAATGATAAATTAAAAATTAAAAATTTTTTTATACAAAATTTTATATTAAAATTTATATTATGATTAATTAACGGTCAATTAATCAAATCTTAATTAACCGTTAATTTTTCATCTCTATATGAGTCATAACTCAGAAAGTTATAGGATAACTACAGTTCCTCTGAATACTCAGTAATTATACTTTTTCTGTAAAAAAATCTAGTTACAAACTGGCCTTCTGATAAAAAATAACTGCAGTTTTTGTCAAATTTATGCAAAATCACATCTTACAAGACACAATCTATTTTACAAAGGGAAGTTAAGAAAATTTTAGTTATGACGAAAGAAATACAATAGTTCTATAGTTACAGAGTGACATCTTGCAGATCAATGATCTACATATAAATTATATAAAACTGTATGTAACCATTAAAGAAAACACAACTCAGTAGTTATTTCAAATTCTGACACAATTACAATGATTTCTTAGCAAAAACTAGATTTTTTTTTACTATAGAGAAAAGATCTATACCAATAGAATTTTCAAAAGGTTCAACTATACATCAAAAAATTTAATCATCTTAAAATGTACTTCACACTTGATGCGTACTTTACAGTTTGTAATGATGATTTAAAGCTTGTTGAATTTAAAAGTAACTATGAAAACGCTTATTACAAGAAATCCATCAATGACTATTTTTTGACAATTATAGCCTGCTTGTATTCTTGAGAAAGAAAAGGTTTATTAAACATGTTTTCTTAAGTAGCTAGTGTATTGTGTCCCAAGCCTTATTCTAAGATTTTACTATTCTTTGCCAGGCTTTAATTAATAAGATGCTAACTAGAAAAACTAGAAAAGTGATTCAAGGTTATATGAATAATTTCCTTTCAGAAAATGTAAAAACTTCTCATAGAAGATGATGGCAATGTTACTAATGAAGATAGAGATATTCAGATATAATATCAACCTTATAATTAGTTATAATGACTGTAAGATGTTTCTTCTAATCACGAATATATCACTTTCTTAGAAAAAAGAATTTTTTTTCAAGCATAAAATTGATAATGAGAAAGAAGTAATACTAACCAAAAAGGTGAATCTAGTTTATACAATAAATCTGAATGGATTAATTGTAGTATAGTTGTAGCCAGTGTTGTCATGAGACATTGCTGGGACACTGATGGGACACTGATGGGACATAGATGGGACAGATAGGACATTTGGGACTTAGTGTGGGACAGGTTGGG